ATATTCTTACAATGTTTGGCAAATACTGTCATCATCATATAGTAGTTGTATTAATATCAAATAAGTAAAACACCATATAACAATAAAAACAGTAATAGCACAATAATAAAAATAGAAGAAAAGAATATATAATCCACATCCATGACCAGTAATAATAATAAATAAATAAATAAAATAAAACCACATTCAAAAAAAAAAAAAAAAAAAAAAAAAAATCTGTCACTCCAATAGCTCAAGCACTTTTTGTTTTTACCAAAATGATACTGGTCAGTAATAAAAAAGAAAAGAGGAAAAGAAGACAACAAAGAAGAGGAAGAAGAAGAAGAAAAAAAACAACTTCCCAATGAAATGGACCACAGACAAAATATCAACACACTGCACTGACAACACTTCAGTATATCATACAGTTTCTTATTGGTAAATCGATTTCTACAGATTTTGTAGCAATTGTTTGTCTTTTCATAATCTGTTTCTTCAGATTTTTCAGTACGTCTTTTTTTCCACTAAGATTCCAGTACCTCTTTCCTTACTTTTAATTCCCTCTAATTTTTGGCACGACAAAATCACTACAACTATCATCATAAACTAATAAAAACACAAGATACCTTTCCACCATAATGATGTTATAGTGAAACCTCTTCAATAGATTCTCTTTTCTTAAAAAGAAAGAAAGAAAATATAGAAAAAGAAAAAGATAAAAAAGTATCATCATATTTTGTTGAAATAAACATAAAAAGTGAATGAAAGTTACATATCCATAAATGATCTTTTCCAAATCTCCATTCTGTTGATGTTTTACATAACATATCTACTTATGTACATTTATTAGAATGTCCTTATCATCAACTTGTAATAAGTATAAAGAATAGTACAAAATTGCAATGTCTTGCTAAATAGTGGTTTCCACTTTCTGTGAACCTAATATCTAAACTATACAAAAATTGCAATCATGGTCATTATTATTACCATCATCAAAGTGAAGGTGCATTTAAGATGGTGATTACAGGCTGAATGCAGCCACTCCGAATAACATCATGGTACTGTACTTAAAATAATTATCATCAACCTTGATAAGTTTTGGCATAAGTCAGAGGATTTTTTAAACCTTCTGTGATATATCCTTAATGCATGTATAGGTGAAATAAATAACCTCAATTAATGTTTTGCAATTTTCTAACAGACTAACCCTCTCCTTGTCAAGGAAATTGTCTGAAAGCCATCCCCCCCAGTAATCTCCTCTTGTCATGGATATTGTCATATAGCCAACTCCTTGTGATATGGCCCATGTTTTACTGCCAAAACTATTCCTCTATAAAACTTCACTGAATTGTACTATCTAAATATATATTACGAGAATTACTTAAAAAGAATGTACAATTACTACTGTATTCCTTAAAAATTTTGGCATGCCAAGATGAACCATATTCGAATTGTCAATGAATCTGACCTTATTTGACAGACTGGGAGGCCCAATTATGGGGATATATATCATACTCTGTTGTCAATATATCTAAACACCTATTAGGAGTGTCATATAAAAAGAGTACAATTACTACAGCATTCCTTACTGATTTTGGTATCTCAAGATAGACTATATCAGAACTGTCAATGAACCTGACCTTATTTGACAAATTGAGACTGATGAGTGTACCAGAACATGGACAGCAAATTTACATAAATGACAAAATTCAAATACATGACGATAACTAAACGTTGTTGAAACTTTTATTGAAGCTAACATTCAAGAGGAAATACACAATAATTCTATGCACTTCCAGTGATTTTAAGACATTGATATTTCATTAAAAAAGAAGAAAAAAATTATGCAACAAATGCCATGCATTCATTATTACAGTCACACACACACACACACCCATCCATAGTCTCACTCAAAATGTGTGTGAGATTATGTAGCCACAAACAGTCCATCTTGTAATGTTCCTCTTTACTCATACTCCTCTTGTTTTGTCAGCTTCTCTACCTCTTTATTTTGTTTGTCTGTTTGCTTATTTGCTTGTACCTATCAACTCTTTTACCCATCTGACTCTATTTTGTATCTATAAATCTGTCAGTCTAGTCTACCTTTTCTGTCAGTCTGCATGTTTATCTCTCCGTCTGTCTGTATGTCTGTATATCTACAGCGCATGCATCTCCAAAAGGCTCAACAAATCTTACACCCTACAGTAAATACCATATTCTATCACTGTGCATAAATCTTTTCTTTGCATAAAAATTCACCATGTTACTGTTTATTGTGTTATGAAAATAAAATAAATGGCAAGAAAAATAATGTGGGACATTCTGATCAAATATCAAATGATGTAATGTAAGTGACCTTAACAGTGAAATCAACATTAACCCAATATCGATAGGAGTCTCAATGGTGAGATGGCCAGAAAATGGACAGTAACTGGCTGTCTCATAAGCGAAACACTTGTGATGTCAGCTTACACCAGCGGGAACTTGCTACAATAGGTACCATCCGTCAATAACGTGCTACAATAGGTACCATCGGTCAATAACGGTGTTTTTCACTCCAAACAATCCATGGGTGGGTTAAGATTTTAGAACAGTAACCAGCATCATTTCCAAGCTAATCTTCAGTATATCTCTACTCTGGGGATATAGAATTACTCTAAATTCACCAATGCTATATGAAACATCTTTTACAACATAATCTTGAGAAGCCCAGAGATTTATGCTGAAGCAAGAGAAGTAGCAATGCCCAGTTTTATCAAAAAGGACAAAAGAAGAAACTCAAAAATGTGATAATGGTAAACTGAACAACTCTTACAATTTTTTTTAACCAAAAATACAAGCTTAAAGGTAAGACTTTAAAAAAAGCTGACTTTAAATTCCCCCAAATTAGCCATATTATTATAATAGATTTATGCCATCATTTCCTTAGAGGATAACCAAATTTTAAAAACAAAAATAATACCACAAACTCCAATATTAACCCCTTGGATCCAGATGATGTGTGCAGCATATCGAGAAACTTTGGCTGAGTGGCGGGAGAAGCGAACATGCCATCATGGAAAAATTTGGCTGAGGGCCAGGGAGACAGGAATTTGCCGACAAGAGAATTTCGGCTGAAGGCTGGGGTGATAGGAATAACTCAACACAAAAGCACAAAGCTCTTGGATGATTTGACTTGGTTCCATTTAGGAAAGGGCTCTTGCATTACTCTTATCAGTATACAAGTAAGCCATAACTGGAAGAGCACCGGCTTCAGGGAGGACAGTTATTTCCATGCTCAAGATCCTATTCCTGCTCATCATAACCAGTGGTGTAGGTTGCATTACAAAAAATTTGATACTTTGAGAAAAAAAGCAAATAATAAAATGTTACTTACTGTGATTATAAGTTATGGACTATCTAGAGAGATGATATGGAGCCTGTCCAAGGAAAACAGTCTGTTACCATGCAGATAAAGGAAATCAAATGACAAAAATAGACACAGGAGAATGGCAAAAAAACAAAAAACGCTTACACAGAAAAAGAGATCATAACATCACAAAGCGGAGGCAAGCAGGCTTGATATCATACGAGTGTTCATGTGCACCCGGCATACAAGCCAAACACCCATAAGAGCAGCCACTCAAGTAAGTCTAATGTCCAGAATTTGGGCCAGTTGTGGGCAGCAAAGCACCTGAATCCAAGGGGTAATAAACATGATTTTAACTTTTTGGGGACATTTTCCTAAGAAGCCAATTTCCTTGAACCCATTACCGCCAGTATATTTTGAAGCCGAAAATAAAAGATTCTGGGTGGCTACAAAATTGGCGGGCGGAGCTGGCCCAGACTCTGCCCACGCACTGGCCGTAGCCCACTGCTGCGTGGGAGTGCAAGCCCCGATACAGCATCACACTGGCGGGACGCCCGGCAATGTTTATTTTTTCGGGTGTCTCATATATGGGACACCCGTCGTTATTGGGTTAAATGGAACTTATACAACAGAACAACAAAAATCGTTCAATTTTTCAAATGCAATATCATTATATTAAAAAGCAAAAGGCTAGAAATAACTACCTTATATGAAAATCAAGTAAAAGCCTATATCAAAATAGTTTCAGTGATTTCACTTGTACTTAACATCTATTTAGATTTTGTGAAGAAGAAGAAGAAGAAGAAGAAGGTTATATTTCAAAAACTTGAAGGCAAAATTTTTCACTGAAAAGCAACTGAAATTCTATTAGTAAAAGTAACTTATTTCTACAATTCATGGTCTGACTTTCATCAACTCTTAAAGTACCATGCCTCTAAAATACAAATGATGGAATGGAAGACCAACCTATAATCTGTCAGAAAATTCAAAAGAAAATACAAAAGAAGAAGCAGAAAAGAAAGAAAGAAAAAAAAAAGTCATATTCAAGGTAAAAAGAGGAAAGGAAAGGAAAAAAAATAAAGTTAATAAATGTTTCCTCATATCTAACTAAGAATTAAATATTACCTTGTGTCATATCTTTCTAGTATCCGAGGTGTAGTAACAATCAAAGGTACTCACACTAACCCGTTCATTCATCCACCATACACATATCTATTGGTCCAAGTATGGTGAGTATCCTTGCATCCGTAAACTGACTCATTCGTTTTCAATTCTCTCCTATCATTCTCATAAAACTTGGAAGTTCAATGATCTTTTTCTTTTCAAAATTTATATAAAACAGGAAAGTGTGACAAATACATATTGTTGAAGAGGTTTAACTATAGTAAATTGCAAACCAACATCCAGTATAGAAAATCAAGGATATCAGTATTCCAAATCTTTAGTAACTCAAAAGGTACCTTATGCATAAAGAAACACAAGATCTTCCAGAAGTAAACCCTTTCATTGTTTAAAATCTTTAAGCATTCATATTTAAATGCCTTGAAAAATAGATGGAATATATCTTATAAATGTAGCACAAATTGTATAGCAAGTAACTTTCCCAATTCATTAAAAATCATAATCAGGGTTCAGTTATGAAAGATCCTTTTGAAGAATTTTACACACTCACCATTTGTGAACCTTGGTTTCCTGAAAATCCTTCAAATGGTATTCCAAGTAAATTTCTGTCTCCTTCCCAAGTTTTCTGAAAATTTAAAGAAGAAAGAAGTGAGACTAAAACTTTGCCAAAGGTAAAATTAAATGCCTTTCCTTGCCAATTAAGGAATACCCATTTATCTACCTTTGAAGAACTTTACCCTAATACAGAATGATAGCCTGAGAAAAGTGAACTTAACCTACAAATAAAAATGGGATTCAATATTTTCTTCCCGTAACCTGTTAGCTTCAACTGTTTACTTGGTAATTAGCAAGGCTATTACTATTCATCAAAGAAAAATTAATTCAGAGTTTGCAGTCATGATGTCTCTGGAAGTTTTCATGTGATTGGTTGCTGTTGGTTAGTGTAGCTACCTAATGCTGAGGATCTACTGTATATAAGGTGATGATTGGTCTGTATGTATTTGTTGGCAATTCAACTCACTTGTAGGCAATCATCTATTGCACTAATAGTAGATTTTTGCCGAAATATTGGTTATAAAGTAATGGTAGCTTTTCACAAATATTGCAATTTTATAGTGAAGTGGATGAGCCCAATTTCATGGTGAAAACCAATGCCTCTCTGCTAATAATAAAACAACAATCAAAATATGAGAAAATTATCAGCCATATTATGATTATGTCCATAAATACTTGGTAACATTATCCAAGTAGACAGGTCAGAATGTGAGTGTGAATGAGTGATTGCATGTGCATGTGTTGGTATTTAAGTCTGGCTGTTAGTGCTTCAGTTCACAGGTTTGTTAGATGCCAAACTGTCTGTCATGTTCAGTGGGTTAAACTCAAGTGCTTAATAACAATATTAAAACAAGTATAAACAAAACCAACAGAAAAGAAATATTTTCTACCATCTAGTAAAAGTTAACAGAATTACTCATAAACTGAGCAACTCACCCCTTGCAGACCAGAAGCTCCTGGAAGAGCCTGAGCCACAAGATCCTCCATTGTCTGAGGTTGGCTGGAGGATCGCAGGCCCTGGGGATTAAAGCCTGCACCCCCAACCTCTCTCCCTATACTCCCCGAGTGCTCACTATGAACAGGGTAACTCAGTCCAGCTTCGGAGTCTGTTGACTTTATGGATTCTTTGGTCTCGTCTGCTTCAGAGTAATCATCGTGTGGTTCTTCCTTGACTAGGGGTTCATCCATTATCAACTGTAAAATGGTGTATACCAGTATAAATATTAGTAATGGCATCTAATATGACCTATGGAATAGCTCATGTTTTGGTAAAATATCTTTAAAGTTTCATGTTTTGTCATCAGAAGTATGTACTGCAGTGCAAAACAATGCAATATAGTCACACAAGTATATTACCTCAGACTCTCCTGCACCGCTGATTTCATTGTCTGAATTGGAGGGAGGCGGGGCAGAGTCCGCTTGAGCACTTGGAGCTGGTTCGTGGGTTGTCGTGTGAGAAACATCCGGTGATGAGGTTGGGCCTGTGGCACTTGGCAACTGAGTATCTGGACTGGAAGGATATAGAACTGGGCTGGGACTTGAGCGTAGGCGGAGAGGCTCTCGGGATCTCTGTGGTTCTCTGAATGGTTCTCGAAAGCTTAACTGAGGTCTTGGGGGGAGCTCCCTTCCTAATTTCTCTACTGTGTTTTGACTGGGTTTCTGCAGCACAGGTTCCTCAGGTTTTCTACGTTTGGCATCGGGTCCCTCACTGGACCATGGCACATTTCTTTTGCCATCCTGGCTGGCGTCACGTTCACTAGGGGCTTCATCAGGGACAGCCAACCCCTTTATCCTTAGGCACTCAGCAGCTTTGATAAGTCCTGATAGGTCTGTCTGTAACACATTCACTTCACCAACATACATGTAGTTCAAAAGAGCCTCAAGGTCCTCATGTCTAATATCTTTCAACACTATTATGGGGTGTTTACAGTTTGTCTTTTCAAACATTTGTTCAAAATAATCACTACATGTTGACAAAACCAGTTTGTGTACTGGATAAAATTTTCCATCACAGGCTAAGGTAACATCACAATAGGACTCCTGAAATGAATGAACAATGAATGGATATTAATCTCATGTAGCTCAACATTTCCACTGCCCACTCTTTAACTCACTGCTCTCAGGCCAGCTAAATCACAAAAAGTCTAAACTTCAATGTTTGTACTTAAACAAAGAGTGTAGACAACCCACACTTATCTATGTTATAATTCCATTTACACGTCCTACAAAAGTATCCAGCAACCACAGCATAAATTCTGTATGACATAAAAGCTATAAGCCATAGTCTAACAAAGATGACAGACATATATGCTATCAGGAGGTAGAGGGTTAAAATCAATATAAAATAATAAATCAGATATCATATTCTAAAAAGGTTAAAGTTACCGAGAGCAAAACACAGATAGAGGGCAATGAAAACTGCAACTTAAAGAGCATATGGAACAGTCATAAATAACACAGGTACAGCTGTTGTGGCCTTATATTTACTGCTAAATAACAAAAATATCTGCTGCACATCTCTGCTCAGAGAGTAAGCCCACAACATCTTTACACAGCCCGAGTTCTTAATGTCGTGTTTTCTATAAGTCGATACGAAATGCTAATAAAGGAGGGTTAAGAGGGGTTCACCCCCATCTAAGGAAATAGAAGCTAGCAAATATAAGGTTCGGATTGCTGGGTTCACATGGTTTTGGGGCTTAAGATGAATCGCTCTATGTAACAAATACCTCTAAAAAATCTATAAAAAATATAGAAAACAATGTAAACAGAAGCTAAGAACCTTCTACATGTGTGGCATTGCTCTGATGATATTGACAAAAGGAAGAGATAATCTACAAAATATGCAGCCACAATATAAATACAAACCTTTCTTCTAACTGTGGAGAGCACATAGAAGAACGTGGAGCGGTGGTTGTTCCACTTCAGTGACAACAAGCCGCCATCCATGGCCAGTCCACTTCACCTGAAGTTTAGCCCTACTGAAGAAATAAATGTAAATATCAATCATTGAGGAAATACACAAACATATCATGTATCAACAAAAAATCTGGGTAACCTTAACAGTACAGACATAATAAGCTCAGACAAACTGAAGATATTACTCTTGTAGAAAGTTGTGTTGCTGGTACAAGAAACAATTTGCAGATTTGAACAGTAACACCACAAATAAATTTTGTTGTGCAACAATGCTTTCCAGAGGGTGTTGGGGCCAGAGCCTCCCATTAACCCTCCCCTGGCAAGTGTCTGATGAGCACGCCTATTCACTGCAATTTAGATTGTTGAATAAAGTTTATAAAATAGACGGTGTCTCTGGCAAGTGCGTCTGTACTGTAAAGGATTACCCAAAATCTAAAACCTGTGAATACAATATTCTTAATATGGAAAAAGTTAAGTTAGCTTATAAACTCCTTAAAAATAACTTGCAGTGATTCAATGGGTAGCCACGGCATTGGCACCTTCATTACTCCAGCGAAGACTAACAAAACTCCAGTCCAAATATTTTGGCAAGATGGTATTTGTTGGTCTCCCTGACAATTTACTGTTAAATAAGTTAGGTTAGGTTTGTACTCATCGCCCAGAACTAATGTTTAAATGCACGTGTTCAAAAGTGTGCCATACGCCTAACTGTGGCTGCTGTACTCGGAACCTCGGCCAATTTAGAATTATACCTCAATTGCTCTCTCTGAAATATTGTAACCCAATTCATAATTCTAAAATAAAACATACAATTCTTACGATTACAAAGAACAATGCGTAACTATAAAACACACAAAAAATCAATTCATGATAATATAAAATCTGTATAAAATGCCATCAAACCTGATTTTTCCAACTAAAAAAAGATTATGCCAAAAAGGCCGTCTTTTTTGTCGCTCCATTAACACACATACAATAAAACGACCAAACAAACGCACTACATGAAACTAATCATGAACAGCAAGAGACATTTAACCTTTTTTCGAAATACACAATGCAAGAGAGTCTGCCAAGACCAGGAACCTCACTCTTGAGACCCTTATTTCTTGCTATCTAAGCCGCTTCCTTCTCTAATTCTGCGCTCAACTAAGTATCCTCCTATTCACTACGTCCTCAAAATGTGAATTATGTTAATACTCCATATCTGTCGCTTACCTGAAACGTTTCTTAATTATTCCCTTTAAACGATTTTTCGGGGCTTGTCCTTCATTTTGTTTATTACCATCGAATATCCAGGTTGTGTTATGTCATTTAATGCACTGTATTATATCATAGATCCCACCAATGAGTTTAAGTATTATTCACATATTGTAAATGATTGTAGATCATATTGTGAGACCTTCTAAAAGAAGGAGAGAAGAGAAATGACCTAGTAACCATTAATATTCTCTCCGTTACAGAACCTGGATCTAGAGAAATATCTTACAAAGAGGGTGCGCTCAAACATTTGCAGTTAATTAGTAAATCTTATAATTATTGCAATTTTACATGTTGCATTTCACACTCACTGATTTGCTGTTTTATGATGGGCGTAGCAGGTCTAGCAGATTATTGCTAAATATGCAATGACCAATGAGGCATACATTTCAACAATAAATACATTGAAATGGCAAATTTGATGAATTGAACATCTTTATCTAAAGTTTTGTGTTTTTTTTATTTGAAGGGTATTTGATACTTTCGCTCTTTTGATAGAAAAGAATGTAATGTATTATTTTGTAAATTGTATGAAAATGGCAAAATTGCAGGAATGGCATCTGCTTGCAGGACTGAAGAGGCGTCGCCTACTATTATATTTTCATTACGCTTGTCAAATACTATTATTTTCGGTTCCCTGTCTATTCTAATTTCTTACCTTTCTGTGTGTGTGGTGTGATAAAGAGGGGGAGACTGAGAGAGGGAGAGGGGCGAGTGGCATTTCACTACCCAAAATAGCGTACGAGATTTCCGGGATTTCCGAAATCCCGAAAAAAAAACTTGAAGGGATTTCCGGATTTCCAGACAGATTTGTCAGGGATTTCCGGATTTTCGAAGGATTTTCTAGGGTTTTTCAAACTTCTCAATGGCGCTTTAATACATTAAATCTTCGTCAATGTATATAAAACTAAGCTGTTATCAGTTACTACCTTACAGGAACCACATGAAATACACTATTTTACCATAAATCATGACTGATTAAGGTTATTGTAACCCTTCAGACAAAAAAAAAAAAAAAAAATCGATTTTTTATTTTCGTCATAATCTGGTAGATTAACCTCGAGATCAACCATTTTGAGTATCGTTTAAACCAACTCGCTTCCAGAAATAGCGAGTTACTTGGAAACGATCATTTTAAAAGGAGCAATCCTTTCTCTAGAAAAAAAAAAACCCTGCGGGGATATACATTAGGAAATTAAAGTAAACCCACCTGACCTTGTAGCTACATCTAAAACATCCTGTGCTGCTATTTCATTGATATACTGCTGAACCAAGACCGCGCTTAAGCTTTATTGCTTGACTTCTTCGTAATCGTTCCTCCGGTTATTTTTGCTTCAGTTTGATAAAAGCCTGATTTCCCTAAAGAGATTCCGTAAACATCTCTCTCTCTCTCTCTCTCTCTCTCTCTCTCTCTCTCTCTCACTCTTTCTCTCTCCTCTCTCTCTCTCTCTCTCTCTCTCCTCTCTCTCTCTCTCTCTCTCTCTTCCTCTCTCTCTTCTCCTTCTTCTTCTTCTCTCTCTCTCTCTTCTCTCTCTCTCTCTCTCTCTCTCTCTCTCTCTCTCTCTCTCTCTCTCTCTCTCTCTCTCTCTCTTCTCTCTCTCTCTCTCTCCTTCCCTCCCTTCTCTCTCTCTCTCTCTCTCTCTCTCCCCTCTCTCTCTCGGAGTTCAAAAGAAGCCGCAACGGTTGACTGAGTAATGTAGGTGTTCCCTTCTTTGTTTTTCCTTTTCTTTCTCTTTCTTTCGCTGTATCATTCCGTCTTTCAATCTTCTCCCCACCGTCTCTTTCTCTCTTTCTTCTCCTCTCTGCACACACACACACACACACACACACACACACACACACACACACACACACACACACACACACACACACACACACACACACACACACACACACACACACACACACACTCAAATAGATATTTCCGGTTAACTGATTTTATTGCTAGTTGGGGAGGGGTGAAGGGTGAAGGGGGGGCGGGAGGAGTCAAAGGGAAAGGTTAAACGAGAAGAAATGGAGTAGAAAAGAGGGGAAAAGGTAGGAAATTGACAAAGAAAAGGGAAAGAATTGAGAAAGGGTTGGATGGGAGGAGGGAATGGAGGAGGAAAGGGGAACTGGGAATGAGTGGAAAGAGAGGACAAATACGAAAGGAAAAGGATGAGGAACGAAGAAAATTAGAGGGAGAAACAGGTGGAAAGAATTAATGTTGAAATACAAAAATGGAGGGAGAAAGAAATTCTGAGGAGATAAAGAAAGTAGAGAAAAAAGAAAATGGAAAAGAGCAGATGTAAGTAAATGAGGAAGAGAAAAAAGGCATAAAAAAAGAGTGAGAAAGGGGCGAGGGATAGGCGGGGGGGGGGGGGGGAGACAGTAAACATAAAGCGATAGCGAAGGTAGTGACTAAGATAAATGTATTCTTTTCTTTATTGTTTTTCATTTCCTGGCAGCTTATCTGTGCCTGGTTACACACACACACACAAACACACACACACACACACACACACACCACACACACACACACACACACACACAATACACACACACACAACACACACACACAAACGCACACACACACAAACGCACACACACACACACACACACACACACACACACACAGCACAAACACACACACACACACACAACACACACACACCACACACCACACACACACACACACACACACACACACACACACATAGAACACAGATTAGACGTATCAAGGGATTCTTAAAGCCATGTGATAGACAGGCAAGGAATGATTTTACACTGAAAACTGGGCATTTAATTAATCGCCATTATTTAACGTGTCACCGGTGAAAGTAGCGTTAAGGGCGTCGATAAAACTAAGACGATTTTTCTTCAGATCTCTTGGTTGATAGGCCTATCCCACTCTCCATTTTAAATCAGTCTGGTTTTTATAAGTGGTTTTGTATCTGCTTTTGCTTTTTTTTTTTATCAAAGTTTTAATGATCGTGAGAGTTTGTTAGCTTGTCTCTCGTTTTCTGTTTACCTTTCTTTCATCTGAAATAATTCCATATGGTCTTAAATACAGACACAATGAGCGTATATTTGGTGACGTTACAGAACTTTGCAAATATGTCAGAAGAATTACATATCATTATGTTCATTATACGAGAAACGGTTTCTTAAAGGTTAACGACGGTGATAAAGATGTAGATAGACAGACTAAGAGAGAGAGAAAACAAGAGACAAGCAAAAAAAAAAAAGTCTCGATAATGGTCAACAGAGTAAAAGTATAAGAAGCAATGTCACTTTCGACACAGATCGTCGCATTTCCATTCCCATTGCCAGTTCAAAATATGTGGGGTTGGTAAGGGCATTATATCCAAGGGGCACACCGCTCTCTCCCTCTCCGCTCCCTCCCTGCGGATATCTGTATTAATTAGTGTTTGTTTTGCCTTTGGGACCGACTGTGGGGATTTGTCTCCATCAAGGAAAAATCCATTTGCTTGTTGGCTGCTATTCTTTTCCTGTATTTGATATATCTCCATTCTGACACAGAAAGTAAAGCTGAACGTCTTATGAAAATATCTACTTTAGGCCTTCCTGATTGCGAGGACAAATCTGTGCAAATTCATGGGATGTGCATAGACTTAAGAGAAAAAAGAAGAATGTGTCTTTAAAAAAGTTATGATCAGTTAATTTTCTGATGTTTACTAATGTACATACTTTATAATCAATGTTCAATGCATACATTTGAATACAAAATCCTAATCACAGTGTAAACGGTTACCTTCACATATACTGACTACAAGCCACTCTGGCTATTCTGTACGGTAACTCGACTGCAAATGTTGTAATATACTCTACAGAAGCTTTAGTAACTGCTGTCTAACATTTCTGGGCTAAACTAAATAAATGAAGAGAAGCTGTGTTGATATAACTTCAATTTGTCTATTATACGGTGTTCAGTATCATTGTTTAATGTTTATGAAGATCTGCTCATTGTGTTCTAGGAAACCATGAGCTAATCTACCGAGGCTTTGTAAACAAAAGTGCCTGTCATTTAAACCTTTATAGCCAGTGTATATGCATACATATGTATACATACCACACACACAAACACACACACACACACGAAAAAAATATCGCGGTAGGCTTAAATCTAGAAAAGAAACCGCGAAAAACCCCTCTTCTTCAAAATGATCGGTTGTCGCGGAATGTACAGGCCATAATTGGCGGCGAAATTAATGCCATTGTATCACGGGCCAAGAGGAGGTAACCGCAACGGGGTTTCCCGGCATTTTTGCAGCTGTGGCGCGCCGGCGGCCTGTCTGGAGGCTGTCGCGGCCCGCTCGCTCTTTTCGGTTACTCTTGCACCTTCTCATTGGCTGTCGGAGATTTGATTTGATTTAAAAAAAAAAATATTTACAGAGCAGTGAGAGAGAGAGAGAGAGAGAGAGAGAGAGAGAGAGAGAGAGAGAGAGAGAGAGAGAGAGAGAGAGAGAGAGAGAGAGAGAGAGAGAGAGAGAGAGAGAGAGAGACCCAGGAGAGAAGGAGAGATCCAGGAGAGAAGGAGAGACCCAGGAGAGAAGGAGAGAGAGTGTGTGTGAGTGAGTGAGAGAGAGAGAGAGAGAGAGAGAGAGAGAGAGAGAGAGAGAGAGAGAGAGAGAGAGAGAGAGAGAGAGAGAGAGAGAGAGAGAGAAGAGATACAGACTATAACACATACACACACACGTCTAAAAACTTCCAAAGTATCAGATAACGTTATTGTAATTACATAATATCTAGAAACACAATTCAATTTTGAATCATGATCTCAGTTATGTAATGCAGTATTAATTACATGGGAAAATACAATGGTGATTATATCAATTTAGCAGAGAAATATAACGAAGATTCCACAAGAAATCCTATCATTCGCTACACATTACGAACGTGGAAAAAAACAAGTATTGCAGCAATAACTGTTTTCATTTACTTGTAACGAAATGGAATAACAACAAAAAACGGGGTATTTCAGTATCCATTGCGGCATGAAAAAATGGTAATAAAGTAGTCTTTCAGCTGACCACTTTCTCGTA